CAATTACATTATGATACAGATTCATATTTTACATATCAAAATGAAGCCACTCTGAGATAAATAACTTATCTACAGTCACAAAACACCCAACTGACAACACTAGCATTTGAACCTAAGTACTCTTAACTAATATGTTGTATGGCCACAATGGGGCATTCAGAGGGTAAGTGCCTTTGTTCCTCACGCTCCAAGGATTGTCTTAATGCTGAAGGGGTCTGATATGTTTAGGTACTCAACAAATAGTTACTGGATGAAAGAATGAGCCTCCTTTGTGATTTAGCATTTCTTGGATCTCCAGGTAAAACTAAGATCCTCAGTATTAAATGAATTTACCGTGAATAAGCCAATAAGAGGAAGGAAAAAACTGTAAGGCTTTTCACAGTGATGTCACCAACCCAAAATAATACAGTCTTGTATTTGGGAGTTAGACTATATGAGTTTTACCTCCTGTTCTTTGACTTACTAGTGGTGTTATCCTAGACAAGTTACTTAATCTGTTCTTTGCACCTCAGTGTCTTCAGCTGTAAAATAAGAATAATGTTTTACCTATATCATTGGCTTGCTGATATGCTACAAAGTTAAATAGATAAATGAGTAAAATATCCTTTAAAGTTTACTGAGCACGTTAGACACCATCAAAAAACAGCAAGGTGTTTGTCAAAGGGTACAAAGTTTCAGTTAAACAAGAATAAGTCCTAAAGATCTACTGTACAAAATAGTGCCTATAAGAATTATTGAATATTTTTAAATGTGCCAAGAGAGTAGATCTTATCATAAGTGTTCTCATCACCATAAGTAAATAAATAGAGTGGGAGGGAACTTTTAGAGGTGATGCATATGTTTATGATATGGACTGTGGTGATGGTTTCATGGCTGTATACTTATCTTCAAACTCATCAACTTGTAGGCATTAAATATGCAGAATATTTTGTATATCAATTACATCTTAATCAAGTAAAAAAAAAAGAAATGTTATTATTTGTATTAGTTAGCTGCCATTAAAATAAGCATCAGAGATTTTAAATGACAGGTCTAACTGGCCCAGATAAATGAAGAGATCAGGTGAAATTAGTAGTACTGATATCAGCCCTTACATATATAAAGTGTTCTGCTATTTCATTTCAGATTAGTTACCTGATATTGTCCTTTGACAACAGAGAAAACATTCTGGTTAACACAGCTTTCTGGTGAAGAGGGAGCTAGGGAGTGAAACTATGATTGTTCCCACTGCATACTGAATTCCCTGAGTGCCGGGGAAGATGATCCTCTTTGGGGCCCCATCGGTAGTGATGGTGGACACTTCGCAGCCAACAGTTACAGCTGAAGAAAATGGCTCTGACAGGAAAGAGAAACACTTATCCCTTGAGATGAGCACAAAGGTGCACTTGGAAAGCACCTCAGAGGGGAACCAGCGGGCACCAACACTCCAACTGCTCCCTTTGAGGCTCACCTCCTTGAAGCTCTCAGATAACTCTTAGTTGCTGGCATTCATCCAAAAATCTGTCCTCTTTCTGTCTCAGTTTATTACAAACCTAATTTTTTTTGTAGAAAAGTAGAAAATTCATTTTCCCAAATCTCACTAACCAGATACTAACAAAATTTGTGATAATCCTTCAAAATACTTGTTCTATACAAAAGTACAAATATTTAGCAATGACATGATATGCTAGTGTTTTATCCAAAACAAAAGTCAGCATCTATAATGCTATTTGATAATATGTACTTTATTTGAAAATATTCTTTCACATGGTTTATACAATCCTTTCAGCTATCCTGAGCTAGAAATCCATTCTGGCAGGACATGTTCTATTTTAATTAATACAGTTTGTTTTTATATTCACATTTTAACACTTGGGAGGTCTACTATATTTCTGATCTCATTGTATGACTTTTTTAAAGCTTTTGAGGGCAGACAGTCTCATTCGTATAAGAATTTCAAACTAACTTTAAAATTATTTTGTTTCCAGCTGGAAACCATCATTCTTAGCAAACTATCACAAGAACAGAAAACCAAACACCGCATGTTCTCACTCATAGGTGGGAACTGAACAATGAGATCACTTGGACTCAGGAAGGGGAACATCACACACCGGGGCCTATCATGGGGAGGGGGGAGGGGGGAGGGATTGCACTGGGAGTTATACCTGATGTAAATGACGAGTTGATGGGTGCAGCACACCAACATGGCACAAGTATACATATGTAACAAACCTGCACGTTATGCACATGTACCCTACAACTTAAAGTATAATAATAATAAATAAATTTAAAAAAAAAAATTATTTTGTTGAGCAATGGGGAAAGGATTCCCTATTTAATAAATGGTGTTAGGAAAACCGGCTAGCCATATGCAGAAAGCTCTAATTGGATCCCTTCCTTACACCTTATACAAAAATTAACTCAAGGTGGGTTAAAAACTTTTCAGTATTTCAGAAATTAATAGTTTCATATTGTTCTATCATATTTGGCAAATTTTATCAATTTTCAGTAATATTTACATTTAAGCCTTTGTGTTTTCTTGATCCATAATATTATTTGTGAATAATGACAAAATGGTCACATTAAGTTATCCATTCTATAAGTATTTATTGAAATTTAATATGTAATCTTACAATGCTAAATTCTAAAAGATAAAAATCTGGTTACTATAAAAGTTTTTTTTTAATTGAGTACGTATTATATGCTAACCAGTATATCAACCATCTTACATACATTATCTTGAGACTTTATAAAAACCCAACAATCTAGTCATTTTAAAAACTCAATTTTAGAAATGATTGAGTCTCAGAGATTTTGGAATTTTCCAAGGCCATGATATGCCTTTGAAAAAATTTGCACTTATTCTAATATTAACAAAATAATTCATTCTTTCAAGAAGCTTGTAATTCAAATAAACAGCTATATGCAGTAAACAGAAAAGGACAGAATGGTTTCTAAATGCTGTATTATAATTCTACACAAAAAATAAAGCATAAAAATAATAGAATATATGTTTTATCGCTTTTTGAGGGAGGAGAAGCAGGTAGATAGAGGGCTCATAGCAAATGAAGGGCTGGAAATGTTTCACAAAGTGGATAACCCAAAAGCTGAGTCAGTGCCTGGCCCAGGGTATCTGTTTAATAAATATTATTTTGATGAATAAATAGACTGATGTACAGTTTTTAGGCACATGAGTGTGGAGAAGAATTTCTAAATAGAGGCTGTTAGAACAAAACTACAGAAGCATAAAGCAGCCTGTTGGTTCAGGAACCACATGTAGTTTAGTATAGCTAGAGCAAATTATTTTGGGGTGGGAAAAATGATTAAGAATAATAAGGCATAAAAGACACTTGCTGTGATGATAATATTAAGAGATGTGCTAAGGGACTTGATTTTTAGGCAATGAGAAACTAAAGGGTATGACACATTTTATAATCAGATAGACTCTTTAGAAGATCTCTATAGTTGTGGCATGGAAAAAGGAGAAAAGGGAATGGTAAACAATGAGATCAGTTTGGAAGACAATGCCATGTGAAGTGACAGGAGATAATGAAGGCCCCAAATAAGGTAGCAACAGTGGTGATATAGACACAGAGACAGGGTAAGTCAAAGTCTAATCAGAGTTGTCAGGATTTAGTGTTAATCACAGATAAAGGGATAAGGTAAAATAGCTCCTCCTGTCTCAAGTTTTACTACATTGGTCAAGGATTCCTACAAATAAATGATAAATAATTATAGTTTTAAAAAGTAGAGACAAATTATTTTATTTTAACCATAAAGTATATGATCTGACAAGTTAAGAAAATACACCGAAAAAATTGCTTTATGTTTACATAAAACACATTTTTGTTTCATTTCATCTTTTCTGAAGGCTATTGCCAACATAGTTTTTATTATTTCAGTCATTAATGTGATGAGTTGTATTAAAGAATTTCTTTTGGCAGGGCACAGTGGCTCACACCTGTAATCCCAGGACTTTGGGAGGCTGAGACCAGTGGATCATGAGGTCAGGAGATCGAGACCATCCTGGCTAACATGGTGAAACCCCATCTCTACTAAAAATACAAAAAATTAGCCGGGCATGGTGGCGGGTGCCTGTAGTCCCAGCTACTCGGGAGGCTGAGGCAGGAGAATGATGTGAACCCGGGAGGCAGAGCTTGCAGTGAGCTGAGATTGTGCCACTGCACTGCAGCCTGGGCAACAGAGCGAGACTCCATCTCAAAAAAAAGAAAAAATAATTTCTTCTAAAAAATAGTAATTAATTTAATCCTACACGTATATATATATACATATACAAACATACATATATATGTAAATCTCTCTCTAAAGATATATATATGTATTTCATGTTTGACCAAATAGTCTTCCTACTTTATTATTTTCTTAATTCTCTGTTACTATACACACAGACATACAATATAAATTATCCTACAAACTTCACTAACTTTTAATATTACTTAATTTTAAATAATTTAATATAATTTACATGCAATTACACATATCATTTTTAAACACTAAGTGGATGGTGCATGTTATATGAAATAAACAGTGGCATGCATAGTTATTGGGTTGTAGGGGGGAGGTGTGTGTGTGTGTGTGTGATTTTAACTAATATCTCTTTGACATAATACTTGGCAAAAGAATCCTTTCCCCCATTACAACAGTGTATCCATGGTAATCAGTAATTTCCTTTCTGATGATTCACATTAAACAAAAGATAATAGCAACATATTGTGACAAGATGAAGGATTAATTATGAGAATGCATATTCTTGGATTTAAAAAGAAGGAAATTAAGCAATTACTTTTTTAAAAAAATTATAGCCCAATTTACTTGGCAAAACCTGTTAGGTTTAGACTTAACTGTTGTCAGGATGCAACAACTGATAGCTGGAATCCTAATGGAAGGTCAGTGCCCTAAAGGATATTTAAAATGCCCTGTTGAAGCAGGTCTTGAAAACTCAAATTTGCGGAGTAAGGATAAACATCCTCTGAATCTCTTCTTTTCAACAAGTCTCCTGCTCAAATCCTGGTTACCAGTAGTATTTTGCAAAGCCTCTGACGAATCTGTTTGGTTTTAATGGAATAGATGACAGGGTTGAGCATCAGAGGCACAAAAAGATAGATAAGGGACATGAGTGTGTGTACATACCATGGGGCATGCCTCCCATACCGAGCAGCTATAGACACACACACCATGGGCACATAGAAGATGAGCGCAGCACACATGTGTGACACACAGGTGTTAAGAGTCTTTAATCGCTCCTCCCGGGAGGCTATGGCAAGTACAGAGCAGAGTATGAGCACATAGGAGAGGAGGATGAGGGCAGAATCCAGGCCAAAGGTAAAGATGACGATGAATAGACCATACATACAATTGATGGTGATGTCGCCACAGGGCTGGCAGATCAGATTTGGATGCAGGCAGTAGGCATGGGAGAGGACATTGGCCTTGCAGAAGGGTAATCTCTTCAGAAGGAAAGGCAGTGGGAAAACCATGCAGAAACTGCGGATAGTAATGGACATGCCCATATGCACCACATGGGCATCAGTGAGCACTGTGGCATAGCGCAGCGGGATACAGATGGCCACATAGCGGTCGAAGCTCATGGCCAGCAGGATGCCAGACTCCACAAAGGAAAAGAGATGGATAAAGAACATTTGGGCCAGCAAGAATAAAAGTTGATCTCCCTTAAGTGGAAGGAAAATGTGGCCAGAACCGTGGGTAGTGTGGGAAAAGACACACCTAGATCATTAGCTGAGAGCAAGGATAGAAAGTAGTACATGGGCTGGTGCAAGCTGCACTCCTTCTTGATAATGAAAAGGATACGGGCATTGCCCACAATGGAGACAATATAGAGAGCACCAAGGAGCAAAAAAGACCAGTGTTGAGAGGTCTCCAGCCCAGGGAGTCCTGTCAAGATGAAATGAGGAAACCCTGAGCTGTTGTGGGAATTACCTCTCATGCTGGAACTCCTGCTTAGATTCTAGGGCCACTATCCTGTAAAGAAGACAAATATACAGTTTTATCCATGGTTTCTGCCTAACATTTTAAGACCCCCACATACTATCAAGCCCCATAATTTATTGCATTAATACATTTAGTTCACCAGACTATTTATCCTTGCCTCTCCTACTTACCAAGATTTCATGAATGGCCTGGGTTGTCTCAGCTTATCTGGCTGGCAAGACAAGTCCATTTGCCCTCCTTTTCACCTGCCTCTATTGGGCTCTTTGTCACATTTAAAGCTTTGAACTCTTCAATTCATGGGTATCAATTTGTTCAAGACCTAAGACAAAAACTCTTCTTTCCAATTACTACTTTTTCAACAATTATGCTCTCTTCCTGAGGAAATCACTTATTCACGAACAATAATAATTTCCTCTTTGCATTCTTTCATGTTAATGAACTTCCACTACTCTCAGTTTCCCTGCTCCTATACAGTCTCTCAGTTAAATTATTTTATCCATTCATCTGGACAAAAGATAAATGGACAGGGAAATGTTCATTCGTGGAGATAATCTTCCAGACATTCATCAAGGTACATTAGACTTTTATATTACCATCCACTTTTTCATTCTTTTATCCATTTAGCTTGAGGCATCACTTTGCTCTCTGACTAATTTAATTTGATTAAAGTAAGTTTTTAATAATTTATTTTATAACCAAATCATTTCTAGCTTCTAAATGCCCTGGGGTTAATAATCATTTCTCTACACCACAGAATTGCTTTTCATCTGTGTTCACTATCTCTTTGAACAATATCATCATTGTGCCCAAGATTGAGATTTTAAATCTAAATGTAACTTTGATTTCTTCTTTTGCTTTACCTACTACATTAAACCAAGTAAGACCTGATGAAAAGACCAAACCCCAAGTGCCTCTGTGAGCACCTTCCTCCATTTCACTCCACCTGCAGTTCCACTCTTTAGACTCAAGATATCACATGAGTATAGCATAATAAAGGCCTCCTAATAAATATCTTGCCGCTCTCTATTCATCTCTAAAGTAGAACTAATATTTTTAAACGCAAATCTGAAAATGCACTGTTCCTATTAGAATTGTTAAATGATCCCTCATTATCAAATGATAAAATCCAAACTCTGCCTAGAATTAAAAACCCTCTATAGTCAGTATTTCTCTCAATATTTTTTGCCTCAATTCTTAAAATTATCTTTCTTATACCTCAAGACACACAGATCAGTCTACTTGCTGTCATCTATGTTTGACCTGCTGCTCACCAGCTCCCAAAGGTTGCCCAGACTGTATGAATATACCCATTCAATCCATCTTCCAGGACTGAGGTCCAAGGATGCCCTCCTCCATGCGTGTTTGACCACTCATTGTCAACAGAGGTACCTTCGCCATACTGCTCACAGATGTAGACTTGTATCTCCTTTGTTCCATTCTTCTGTCTACCTTACATTATAGCTCTATAAATTTTATATATTCTTCTGTCTCACCAGCTTCAAAAACTCCACTGTCACTCTTATTCAGTCCCTGCTATGCTATGGTTAGTGCTGGGCTTGTCCAGGAGAGGTATCGGTAAGTCATTTTCTGAGTTTTGGACTCTTTGCTGTAAACTGGAGATGCTAGGAAATTTACCTAATGGGAATATGAACAGCCGAAAGTAAACAGTTATAAAATCTTTCAGGACCAAAAGCTTTTGCAACTCTGAGGTCTAAAGCTTCTCTACACCCCTTCTTTTTCTGGTTGTCAATTGTATAAATGAGTAAGTATACCAATTCCTAGTCTAGTTTGAGAGACTCCTAAGGAAATATAACAGTTCAATTACTCAAAAGTTAAGAAATACAGGAAAGATTTTTAGGAGAGAACAAAAGAGGGGAATTTGCAATATTCTAAGGCAACTTTCCATCTGCCTTTGCTTCTCCATCTGCACTCAGAACTCTGCTACCCTTCTTTCTCAGAATACATTTTTTTTCTTTATTCGAGATTCTTAGGATCTCTTTGTTTGGCCTACCTGCAGTCTTCCACTTTTTTTTTTTTTTTTTTTTTTTTTGGCCTCTGTATGCAATATAAGGATACCTCTGATTTGGAGTATTTGAACACTAAATAGGGTCCTGCCAAGTACCTTCTAAAACAGAATAAGTGCATTTATATACCCCTTGATATGAGAGTTTTCTGAAAAATATATGTGGTGCTTATTCACACCAAAGCATCTACGTACAAAGTATAGCCTGACAGGGTATCTTTTCTGAAAAAGCAATGTGTGAAGCAGAAAGCATGGTGAAATTTCAGAAACCAAGAGCAACAGATAGAAAGCAGAGCACTGGAATGGTAATGGAGATGAGCACATGCAGAGAACACAGGAAGCTGACTCAGATTAGGGGCAACCTTTCTTCTGGTTGCACGAGTCATCAAAAGCACAGAACTTTCTCAGGCTGGAAACATAAAGATGTGGCAGATAAGTCAGAAATCTAAAGCATTAGAGACCCTCAACACACGTTACTTGAAGACACCAAATAAAGCACAAGAAATAACGTGGGCAGCTGCAGTAATGTGGTTAGGAGCAAAGGCCAAATGTCATCTGATACCCAGCAAGAGGATGGAAACATTATCCTACAATCAAAGAGAAACAAAATGAACCACGAACCTAAATGAGCTTCAAGCAGATTCTTCCCCAGTGCTCCCAGTAAGGAATGCAGCCCTGCCAAAAGCTTGATTTCTGGCTTAAGAAACCCTCAGCATTTAGGGTTCTAGATTTCTGATTTACAGAAACTACAATATAAGAAGTTGTTTTAGGCTGACCACTGTGTAATTATTTCTTACAGCAGCAACAGGGATTAATACAGTGAGCCTTAGGCAAAAGAAACAGGACAGGCAGAGAACAAAGGATTATTCCTGACAGATAATAGCAACACAAACACAGGTATGAAGGTTTGAAAATGATATTGGAAAAGCAGAATTAGTGGCAAGACAAGGAGGATTCATAAGGCTTAAAGAGTGAGTTAGAAATTAGTGAGATATCCACCTACAAAGAATATGAAGAGTGACCATGGCGGGGGCAAGTATAAGTGAACAGGGACTTTACCACCATTGCTATAAGCAGAAGAAAGAAAACCCACTTGGGCTTTGTGATAGGAAATTGAGAGTTCTTGTCTAATCAGATCAACATTCAGTTGAGGAAAGGAGGGGAAAACAGAGTTATAGAGAAATTAAAAACATGTTATCCAATTTAAAAATAGCTTTCTAAATAAAGTATGAGGGAGGAAGACCTTTAGCAAACAAGTGATCTGGGAAACAAAATTCCAGCCCAGGAAAGCAGTTAGGCAAAGCCCTTAATGATAGCTGCATTACCAGGCCTGTGAAGCAACTCACCGAGTCTGAAGCAAAGGAATAACTTGGTTCAACTATTGAGGTCAGGGGAAGATGACTAAGAAAATTTAAAAACTCTAATGGAAGATTCGTGTGAGTAAGAATATGAACAGATTTGAGGAAATAATAAACTCAGTGGTTTCAGTAATTAACACAAATTGTAACGGACACTATGTACTGGTCATAGATGCTTCCATATTTCCCATTTTATAACTTCTTCTTTCTCAAACTACACACCTCTCTTACCCTGCTCTTACCTCCAGCTTATGATCTTATCTTTTATTTCAGAAGAATGTTAATTTTAAAATTGTTCTTTCATAGTATTATAATCTATTTTAGAGTAAAATATTTTAGAATTTCATAATTCATTGAAGTATAAAGAGATTGCTGATATATAATTATATGCAAATATAATCATTTATTAATTTATTCCTCACTAATTTTGTGTTTGGTATATTGAAGGCCCTGTGTTAGAGGCTGAAGATTACAAAGACAATAACATATGGTATCTGCCCAGGAGTTGCTTACAATTCAGTGGAGGACACAAGGTAACCACATTAACTGACTTGATTACAATGGGATTATTCAGAGTATAGTGAGAACATAAAGCAGGTAGAAACAGTTCATTTAAGGTTCAGGAAAATCTTAGACAAAATATTCCTTTAGACTATGACTTATGCATGTAGTATTTTAAAGCTGAACAAAGAATGTTGCTTTTATCCTCATTGAATAAAAACAGTATTAGTAAATAAGCTGTACGTGTATATTACTGCACAATTTTTAGAGCAGTTTATTTTGTTTTCTCTTCAGAATGAACCTATGAGGTAGATACATCAAAGATTGGTACCACTTTTATAAGTGAAGAAATTAAGACCTAGAGAGGATTATTCCACTTATTCAGGATTTCACCTCTCCTTTTACTTCCCCTTACAGGGGAGATTATAGGGCACAGAGGAAGAGAAAACATTTTCTGATATGAAACCCTGATTTGAGGAAAGTCATTATTAGTTCATATGTTCATTCATTTTGTTCACTCATTATTTCCTTTTCTTGTTCATTCATTATTTTTTATTCATCCATTTTTTACTTATTATTTCATTATTACTTTAGCACCATCAGCTGCTATCTAAATGGAGGGCCCATTGTGAGTCTAATGTGGATGGAAAGAGTAAAGACAAGCTTGCTGCCTTAAGGAGCTCAGATTCCTTCAGGGCAAAGCAGATAGACATAAGAGGGTCAGGGAAGGGTCACAGGAGGGAAATAAGTAAAGGCTGTTGAGTTGGTAGAGAGAAGCGCTTACGTATTTCAGAGTCTCCTATGTGGGAAAGCAAACAAAACAAAACATACCAGGAATCCTAAAATCTAATTCTGACTACTAAAGTAGCATAGCTGTCTAACTCCAAAACTATAAAACCTTTCAAACACCATGGTGACAAAGGTCCTGGCTTCTGGCAGCACCAGAAGTCAACCACTCATGTTAAACTTGCATGTTGGTAGTTGTGTATACATACTCCATAGTTACTCCTAGCCCTTCTTCTTTTTCAGAGTTGTACAGGGCCATAACCAGAAGTCTCTGCATGTCCTCCAGAGAATGTTCCCACCCTGCAGTGATGGTCAACAGTCTCCTGATTATTTTTGAAGAGAGACTGTTTTTTTTTTCATTGCCTCTAGAGGATATAGACATAGTCAATTTCTGGATAGGACCCAAAAAATATCCTGACAGGTGCTAGCCCAATGTACTACATTAAATGATTGATCATTGATCCTAGAACTTTAAGTGCAGTGCTAGCATCCCCTGATTGATTCATTCCTACTCTGATGTCTGTCTGGCTATACTCCCAACACTAGATCAACTAGGGCTTCTAGATATCCCAAAGGGTCAGAACTCGACCCTGAAGAGCATCTTGAAAACCCTGCAGCATATCTCCTTTGTCTTAATGCAGTAGATGATAGGATTTAGCATGGGAGGCACAAATAGGTAGAGAATAGACATGAAGATATGAGGCAGGCCAGTCGCAAAGCAATTCACAATGGACACACTAACCATGGGCACATAAAAGATGAGCACAGCTAAGATGTGGGACACACATGTGTTGAGTGTGTGGAGGAGCTCCTCCCGAGAGGCAATGGCCAGCACTGATCACATGATGAGTACATAGGAGATGAAGATCAGTATAGAGTCCAGGCCAAAGGTGAACAACACAATGGACAGTCCATAGTGCCTGTTGAGGGAGACATCAGTACATGCCAATTTAATCATATCCACATGAAGACAGTAGGCATGGGAGAGAATGTTCTGGTGGTTACAGAAAGGCAGTCTGTTCAGCAGCATTGGGAAAACCAGGATGAGGGCAAAGCTGGAGAGGACAGTATCCAGGCCCATCACCACAATGCAGTCATTGGTGAGCACCGCAGCATAGTGCAGTGGGTTACAGATGGCCACATAGCGATCG